AGATTTCGGTACGGCACGTCCCACAGCCGCCAGAATATACTAGTAGGAATGAGCCTTGGGGAAAGGTCGTAGTGATTAGCAATCGGTCTCACGAATCGTGAGATCTATCGAACAATAAGTTAGACCAGAGATACGTCCGTTCCAGGAACTGGCATCCTGGCGTTGTTTCTTTTCCCTTTCTTGAATGCATTTCTTTTGTGTACAGTGGTGTAACATTAGTATTTGACCTCGAGTACTTCGGGCCAGGACCCACTTTTTTAATACTGCCAGCAGAAACCTCCAAATTTGAATTCAATTTAATAGCTAGTATGCCACCCATTATACTTAATGACATCAGCTACCCTGTGAGGCATTGTCTCCGATAGATGCTTAAATAGATCAATATCTAAGCTTTCCCATGCTTCCTGCGCAGCTTCTAGTAGCAATTCTAGCGTAGATACGTTATTAGGAAGCTGCATAAGCTCAGGATGACGCTTAAGAATTTCGGCTTTGAGTAGCGCCCAGAGGTTCTCAATTGGGTTTAAATCAGGCGAGTAAGGTGGCCATTCCATGATATCGCATTGAAGCTCACTTAAAGCATCCCGTACGATATATGCCGTGTGAACAGGCGCGTTATCTTGCTGAAAAATAGCATTAGAATCAATGCTATTAAGTAGCGTAGGTAAGACGCGCCGATAAAGCTCTTCGATCGTACGCGAAGAAACGCCACCTCTCCGAGATAAGGGATCTCCGAATAGTGGAATAAGGCCTGATCGACGCGGAAGACCGGAAAAAGCAGCCCAAAACATCTGCTTAATTTGCTTCCCTCGCGCTGGAACCATTTGAACCTGATGGCCCTCTTTCGAATGCTGAAATAGCTGATCCTTCGGACGCGTAAAAGTCCATTCTTGACGCTGGCCAATACCACGTTCAACCGTACATTCGTCAGACCAATAGACGCGGGCCCAATCCTCCGACGTAAAATGCTGATATTGAAGGGCCCAGCGTAGACGTTTCTCAGCGTGTGTAGGCGTTAAGGTCGGCCGCTGCATTTTTCTCCATTTTCGAAGGCCCATTTCGTGGGTTAGACGCCAAATTGACATACGGTGGACCTTAAAATCAACCTCTCCGAGTAGATCCTTGATCAAAATTGAAGGCTTTTCTTGTATAGTATCGTAGATATAGTCACGATCCTCTTCAGTAAGCTTCCTCGGTTGGCCTGAGCGTGGAAGACTTTGCTGTTTTTGACGCTTTACCTCTTGGGTAAGGGTGTATTGAATAGTTGAGCGTGGAATGTCGGGAAAGCGCTGCTTCTTAATAGTCGTAGCACCCCAGCCATTTGTAGCATGTAATTCGCAGATCTTAGCCCGGGTAAGGCAGTCAAGCTCTGGACCTCTTTTTCCGCGTATTGGAGGCATTATTATAGAGAGACAGAGTGAGAAACGCGTAAAAATTATAGCGTAGATACTGGCGCGTTGAAAACGCGAGTGTTGACGTACTAGTAAAGTAGGCGGTCTAAAAAGCGGTCACGGTCCCGAAGTACTGGAGGTCAAATACTAATGTTACACCACTGTAAAGGGTTAGAGGGTAGTGGGTGGAGAGGAAACAAGGAGAAGGCGACTCCAGCTTATAAAATATATATATATATATATATTTTTTTGCCGTACTCTGCTGCGGGAATTGTTTTTTCTAGCCCAGGAAGAGTACTATAAATGGCTCCCTGCTTCCTCGACCAATACAATGCCTCCAAACGGATCAGACCCCCTGTCCTCGAGCAGTACGAGAACGGGTTATTGTTCTATAAATGCATCTCACCCCCGGACTTTCATTCTTTATTGTTGGGTATTCTCCCTGCCTTCTCGAACAATAATTACATTGCCGCCACTACAGTCTTCTGCTGTGTCTTATTTTCCAGCATGCCCAGCCTCAGGTTCCTTACGCACCGGGTACCCAAAAGCTCATTTATCTTCAAAGATTATGCAGGCCACCAGATGGATGGATCGTTTCCGGTGTCATGGAGGCCAAACGATTTGCGTTTTCACTGGATCATGGTCGCTTTTGGACACACTCTAGAAACTGCTCAGCAGGTCTCCAATCGTTGTCATATGTCAAACCTCGAGCAGTTGGGCTCGCTCGGCAACATAATTGTGAGGGGCGTGACTGGCCAGCCTCTTACATCCATTATGGAGAGCATCGACCAAGACACCAAACATCGGATATCTTTAATGTTTTCTTGGCATTGGGTTGAAGATTGCGATGGTGAGCTAGAAATCTACTAGTATAAATAACTTTTCGACCACATGCCTGATATGCAAGAACAGGAAGTTGCCCATACCAAAATATTTTCACGCCTCTCAGAAAAAAAGCAGAGCGCACCCATCTACCGTCTATCGAGACTAGCCAGCTGGAGTATGACAATTCGCCCTGCCAAGCAGTGCTAGGTAAACGCAATAGAGGACACGAAGAAGAGGAAGGTTCTGGGAATTGGCCATCAAAGCGCCTGAAGGGAAAAAGATGACTATAAGATATAGGAGTGTGCCTATCTTGTAGCGCTAGTTGCCTAAATTCTTTCTTGTCCGTTACACCAAGATGTATTAAGAAGTTCCGGTATATCTTACTACACCTAATTCACTTAGTCGCAATTGCAGCTTTTTATAGAACTCTAGTGTGGTACGAGGCTGGCGCTAAATAGGAACACTGCCGTATCATCGGAAACCTACCACACGATCTATACCAAGAATCGAGGATAACTTATTTCCAATCACCTTAGATAACATATTGTATGTATGTCTCATGCTTATTGAATGTTAACGGTTTTGTTAACCTTTAATTAAACCTTAATCGGCTGTAGAGGTGCTCGTCACTTCCATCTATCTCTTATGCCTAAAGGTGACTGACAATATCGGCGATGATAAGAATAAAGGTGGCTTGGTGAATTGGGAGAGTGGTGAATTGGGAGAGTGGTGAATTGGGAGAGTGGTGAATTGGGAGAGTGGTGAATTGGGAGAGTGGTGAATTGGGAGAGTGGTGAATTGGGAGAGTGGTGAATTGGGAGAGTGGTGAATTGGGAGAGTGGTGAATTGGGAGAGTGGTGAATTGGGAGAGTGGTGAATTGGGAGAGTGGTGAACTGGGAGTGGTGAATTGGAAGAAAGAGCTCGGCGATGTCTTCGTTGGAACAGCCAGACTAATTGTAGATCCAACTGTATTGCCTCCGAAGTTGCACTGTTGCCTTGGAAGGAGATATAAATGGACTTCTCACAGTATTCTGACTCCCAATCAATAACATACATCTCACCCAAGCATCTGAGTCATGCGATTTGACACCCCTTTCGTCATTGGACTGGCCACATCAGCGTCTGCTCTCTGGTCAGTTACTTACTATACCACAACCGATTGTTCAGGCGCAGGAAAAGAGGTCGGAGGGTTTGAAGCTGGGTGTCAGGCTCTGGAAACCGACACGGAATCGGTCATGGTCTCTACAGACAGCGGCAACAACATCACCCTGAGCACCAGTCGCAGCTGCAACACTCCTTATGAGGACGCCATTCCAAGCGAAGTGACCGACCGCTGTATTAATGCCGCTATCCGTTCCTTTTTATCTTCTTAGTGGTAAGTCGTGTTCTTTATACTACCTATCGCATCTCAAAATTAACTCTGCAAGCTTAATTAAAGCCCTGAAAATAGGCCGAAGGAGCATTGGCAAAGATCCGGCCAAGGGATCAAGACAAGCTGCGAGAATGAATCTTCTTGTTTTTACTATATGTATATACCAGACAGATCTTAAATATTGAGATTAGAGGAGGATCTAAACAGAAACTCTTAAAAAACATCCGATTGTCCCCATTCTCGTTGGAATACTCGTGCTTTCCCCGAAGAGTTCGTTCTTGTACGGGACACGTACATGTATGAGAATTTAGGGGCTTAAAATCCACAACAGGAGAATATGAAAATTCCAAATCATCTGCCATAGCATGCCGCAGTTTAAGAATGCGAAGTCTCTCATCTCAGTATACTCACTCGGTAAAAGGCGGCTACCTAGCGGAAAGGCTAAGCTATAGTAACTCGGGAGGAACCATATTAGTTTCCACAGGTTTCAGGAAGTAATAATTACCAGACACCACCTTGTGGTAGTCCACAATATATTCGAAACCTATCTGAGTGTGCGCCCACGCAACATCCGCTCAACGTAGTTAAACCATATCTAGCAAAGGCTCACTATACACAGCGGGTCACAAGCTCACCTGGGTAGTGCCTGTATAGGCGAGTATACTGTGACTTGTGTAACTCATTGTATTGTTGAAAATATCTAGGCAGAATTTATGTAGCACTTACAAATGGATTCTCATCATCACAGATAAACCATGTCATCTTCCGGCACAAGAGATAGAGGTGACGACAATGTGTGCAGCCGAATAAGGGTAGATGTCAAACATTGATAGAATTATTGAAATTTGGTGATCAGGAGGCAGAATATATACAAAACGGAGTCCAAGTTGATTTCCAGCTTTTCGTATACAATTATAGGGAGCTTTCCGACGATGGAGCATTGTTCCTACTCTGCGCTAGCCTCTTAACACAACCGGCTTCCCCCAAAAGTTGCAACTGCAACCAAAGGACCTGGGAGTTTCACAAGGCATGTAAGAATTTCTCTATAGTATCCTGGTTTTACGGACAGGAGAGAATATGGATGACTAGTGCGACAAGATGTGTACACTGCTTCTCCAGTCATCTTTGTCCCGTATTTACCAGGCGCTTTGATCGCCTATATTCTGAACCGTCCTGGTCTTCGTGTCCTCTTTTCCGTTTACCCGGCCCTTGTTGATAGGGCGGATGGTCATTGTTGGGCTGGCGCGTTTTGACAGAAGTTTCCAATTCATCTGTGTTGGACGTCGAAATGTAGAATTCACCACAACATGCCGGACCCTCTGCTGTCCGATAACAGCTTCCATTTCTGTCTTGTGAGGCTCCTGCGGTAAAACTCGTTAGTGAAACGTATTTACAAGTGGTTTCTTTTATCGCTTCAAACAAACGTACCTCCTGCGGCAGTTTTACCGGCTTCAGATCTTTCCTCTTTTACATGAGTGCAAGTAGCCAGGTCAGACTCAGGGATATTAAAGCCTTGGTCATGTGTAAGCTTGTCTGGAGCCATCATAGGAGTTGATTCCGTCGCTGGACATTCAGAGTTGCCCCGTGGAAGGTGGAACCGTCTGCCGTCCAAATACGCCTCGAATTCTGGCGTAGTCAATGGCTCAGTGTCCCCATCAGAATCATCTTGCTTTGGTATGCACTGCTGGGAAGCCCATTTGTTGTCATCGATAATAATGGGGTTATCGATTGAGCTCCCTTCTTTGAGTTCATCACACAATGGCCTAGCATCGGCCATGGTGCCTCGCCCTGTTATAGTATGAGAAGGATATTATTTGGCTAGACAAAAGGTTAGAAGAAAAGGGCTCTGCTGTATTCCTCTCTCGTATGGTAATCTCATACCTGAACTTTCGGGCGATGCGTTTGTCGTGAACGCAAAAATATCAGGGCTCATATCAATATTTATATACTTGAATCCAGCAATATGAGTAAGCTGACATCGACGGCCCCATGCAATCTTGTAATGTTGATGCCTTTGGTAGATATAAGCTCCTAGGAGATACGATTGGCTCTGTCGTGGATATACATGAGAAGTACACGACAAATGGAGGGGAGATGACATGCGCGACATACATAGTATATCTGGTTCCCTTGAATGCGAGGAAGCTGCTTTATTTTGGTTTCTCGCACTAATTTCTATCTAGAGTTAACTGTAGTTCTCAACATTAATCATTCATCTCGAGACACTATGCACATCTGTATACGTGAGACCGTTCCCAAGCGGAGCACCACAGACCCCAGCAATGATGATTTGCCGATAGGCTCCTGGGACTCAGTCAAGTGGATAGCCCAAGGGAGGGCCTGATACCTCTTGCCTTGCCACCATTGTCTGCAGGGTATCTCTATCAGTTTTATTTTCCCGCTTGAGAGGTTGTGTATGGTAGCTAATTAGGAGTGTTTCTTGTCTGTCTCATAGATAGGTTTTGCTTAATCCATCAAAACCATGGTATTCCTTCGCTGCAGAGAAAACGGAACTCATCTACCTCAACCAGAGGAAGACCAGGCCCTGGTAATCATGAACGGGAAAACAGTCGAACTGTCCAGCACAGTGAGACTCGTAGGCGTGATATTCGATCAGGAGTTGCGCAGTAAAAAATACGTGCTGTAAATCTTATTCTTTCTTACTGCTTTTTCACCCTTTTGTTGCTCGGTCAATGCAGCTATAATCAGCCCCACGCCCAACCGCTTTCCGCCCTCTCCCCGAGCAGCCAGCGGATATCCGCAATAATGGGCGGTAGCTGCCTGGCCCTCTTTGTTGATCGCATCTAATGGTCATTTTTAACACTTTGTTGCTCTTACACCTATTTTGAAATTTTACTCTTTGTTCCACCATTTTCTCCGACAAATGGGAGGTGCATAGACTCTTCACTCGCACCTAGAATGTTTTTCTGACCAGTCAAATTACTACACGCGCCTGAAGGTGCCTGTGCTTTGGCATCAGGAATCAATCCTTTTTATTTTTGCGAATCCTTGATGATAGCAATTTCAAGTGAGAGATTGTCCAAGGCCTGCTTATAGGTGACACGCCAACATCTTGAGGTGTACAGCAAATATTTGCAGTTGCTAATCCTTGAGAGTATGAATAATACAGCGGACCGCGAAACGCGCGAATTACGATATTTCATTCGGCCACATGTTTCATACCCCGGAACTTTCCAACACTAGGTTGACGAGATGGCGACAGTTACAACGTACATTTCGGTTGAACGTAGCAGACACTGCCCCACTCTCTGGAGACACAAACTACAGTAGGATTTGCGGATACAGTAAAGAAGTCTTTTGCATAAATGCGATCATGAGTATACCAACGGCTCTGACCTGTTTCGTACACCAACCACTTGACCTGCTTCTTCTCAACTTGTTTAGTCCCCAGCCCAATTCAGGTTGATACACTGCTGTCGGTATTTCTCTCGGAGACTTCAAAGCGCTTGAAATTGGTCTTGGCCCCGTTGGTGGGCATGGACCACGTGATATGTTAACTTGAATCGCAGCCAGGTTATATTGACATCTTATTTTTGCGTTAAAGGAATAACTACGGTTCCCGGATACGAACCACCGAGATCGGCGACGGTACATGTAGGAGGATCAGGGCTCAGTAGGCGTCAAAGACCTAGGCCGGCTCAATGATCGCTGATCCCTGGCAGTGGTGCTTTCAATCACCGGGTCAAAGTAGCTGGCCAGGGGAGACGTAAAGGCGGTGCCATTCGCAGTTAGCTGATTACCTGTTGAATCGTTGTAGGTTTTCCGATAGAACTACCTTAATTAGAGGAGAGAGTTTACACCCCAAGAATTGAAGCGTAAGTTTCCAAGGGAATATTCAATTTTGATGCCTTAGAAACAACACCTTTCTGCTCTTGAGAGGCCTTATCGAACAAGTATCTCAATATTTACTTGTCTGTATAGTCTAAACAGCAGCAGCGAGGCGACAGATTAAGAGAAAGTCTGAGGAATCAGCGTTCTGTGACCTGTCTGTCATCGTCATCGGTTTACTCCCACCAGCCTTTTTATTCCCTGATCAGCAAATGTTATCCTAGCAGAACGACGCTATATACTACACTGTCTCCCCCCAAAAGCTGTTGTCCATCACAGTAGGACGTAAAAAGGAGAAAAGCTCACTCTGGCTTCAAAATCATATGATACGTATGGCTTCCTCCTGAATGTCCTTCCATGTCGGAACGAAAGCTGACACGGGTTCACCCGCATTGGCTCGCACCAGATATCTCAGCTCAAAGATGAGCTGCGATGGCCATAGCTGCCTGCAAACATATTTCCTAGCAAGTGCAATTGAATCCCTTCATTGGAATGTAAGATACCCAACGACCGCACTGTATAATTCATTAGCATTATTTTACGTCCGTAGCCCCAAATTAGATACGATCCAAGCCAAGAAACCTACCATTGCTATCCGCACACCTAGCCAGAGGCACCTGTCTCTTCTTATCTTCACCTCAGTGTCCACTTCGTAGATCGTACTGCTGTGCTCTGATCCATCTTTGAAGAAATCGTCTGGGTAATATGATTGACTCCAAGTTTGGCCACGTATCAGGAAATCTTCTGGAAGCTGTGGAGCTGCTCCATCGTCCGCAGCTGGGAAAGACGCGGCTTCAATCTTCGGAAAAGCAGCATTGGGTGTGATCAGACTATTGAGGAATCTAGTGATTGCTCTCCAAGGAACTCTCACTTCCAAACTTTCCATGAAAGGGCGATAAAACGTGACGCACCAGAGGAAAGCCAGAGAGATATGGATTGCTGGGACGGAGTCGTGGCTGTTGCCATACTGAAGAAGAACCGAGAGTGTTTGAAAAGTTAAATGGACTCCCTGGATGTCTTGTTTAGTTGGATATGCAGGTTGGTTGATCAGACAATTGCTTACACATGCTTGCTTCTGGTTGGCTAGACCCAGTTGATTTGTCTGGGGAGTATGCCCACTCTGGCTTTGGGAAGATACCATACCCATGAATGCAGGATCGCCGTAATTAAATGCAGATGCCAAATTGCAGGACATGATATACACTGTGTGTTGTCCTTGGTGACCATGGTGTCGCATGTCCATTGATAAGAGCGACAAAAAGCCATTTGTCACAGTCATAAACCGCTCAATGGATTCACCAGCAAGTAGCACGCAATGTGCAGCTATGAAGGAAGTGATCATGGTGTTTTTCCGAGGTGCTAAATTAGCCCAGTCATCGAAGAAACGGCCAAATGTCACTCGGGTGTGTGGAAATGGCTGCACGCTGATCAATGCTTTGGTAAGATAAAAGAGTGTCCGAAGGGGATCAGATTGTGACAAAACTGCAAGATGATGTTGCAATTTTCCGCTACCGGCATTTCGGTCCACAGCTTTTTGGTACCAATATTGCGATATAACTTTCCAATGTCTGCTATTCAACTTTTCCGCAAATATACCATATCGTGCCACATTACCAAGTTGTTCGAACAACGAGTCCCCAAGTGCTGAATTTGACAGAATTAGTCGCTTTAGAATCGATGAGACCATTTCGATGAAGCAGAGCATGTGCTTCAAAGCCTCTGGGAGGTTCTGTTGTAGGATCTTCAATAACGAATGTATCCCATACCGCCACATCCGATCAGACATGGCGTATTTTTTAGGAATATTTCTGATACTTGGGCTGGCTGATGGATGATGGCACATAACGAAAAATTGTTCATGCTCGTGAAGCAAATTCAAGTGTAGGGTGATAAGTCCTTGCCATCGGTCGCTAGGCAGGTGTACTGTAGATGGTGCTTGATTTTGCTCGAACCACTGGCACCTACTCTCACGGTCTACAAGCCTTGCGTACTGTTCTTCGATTGTAAGGATGAGCTTTGCTTGACCCAAATCCTTAGTGGTCAGACTCACCTCGAAGTTCGGATGACAGCGAGCGTGAAGCCATTTGGCCCAAGATCCGGTTTTCGATAGAATTCCAGGAGGCACACATGTGACGAATCTGGCTGTAGCCGTTCTCGATGTTTGAAGTGAATATTTGTCCTAAAGACATTTAGCTGACTGCCCACTATTCAAATCATGTAGCAAAACAAGACGCCGTACCTAAGATTCAAATTTCGCCCCGGAGCGATTATTAGATTGAGGAAAAAAGGGTTTCCTAAATGCAACCGACCGAATGGAAAAAAAATGTGGTAGGCATTCGTCCAATGGGTTGGTGAAAAGGGAAGATCCCATCAAACCGGATTAAATCAGGGTTTGTTGCGCCCAAATTTTTATCCCTTTCAGATGTGCTATTTATAGGCTATGCAACGTGATAATACTAGAATTTTAGCGAATGATTGCTATAAGCGTACTTTCCATTGGTATTAGAATTACTCCTAGGAATATAGCCCCGGTCATACACCCAAGTGGAGCTTTTCTAGAGGAAATCCGGCTAACCTCGCCTGGCCAGGACCTAGATCCTTGGTCATTGCATTAGTGGTGAGGCACATGTCATATTGGTGCAGATCAGTTTCAAATTGCGACTGATAGTTCGGCACTAGCACCAGATTGGTCCGTATCAGTATTGGGACTTCATCTGGTTATTTTATGTATTTGGACTGTACTCCAAATATGACACGTGCATCGAGAGGCCTTACGCTTTCTGGATAAGAAAGCCCACCGGTCAAGATTCAGCCAGGCCTACTGTTGCCCCAAAGCAAACTTGAACCTCATGTGTGGTGAAAAGAAGGCTTAGACTCCCAATCTTTACATAGCAGGCCGTCAATTTCTCCTGTGTGGATACATTGTCA